TATAGACCTGATCCACATGTAGACCTGACTATAGACCTGATCCACATGTAGACCTGACTATAGACCTCTTCACATGTAGACCTGACTATAGACCTGATCCACATGTAGACCTGACTATAGACCTCTTCACATGTAGACCTGATTATAGACCTGATCCACATGTAGACCTGACTATAGACCTGATCCACATGTAGACCCGACTATAGACCTGATCCACATGTAGACCTGACTATAGACCTGACTATAGACCTGATCCACATGTAGACCTGATTATAGACCCGATCCACATGTAGACCTGACTATAGACCTCTTCACATGTAGACCTGATTATAGACCTGATCCACATGTAGACCCGATTATAGACCTGATCCACATGTAGACCCGATTATAGACCTGATCCACATGTAGACCCGATTATAGACCTGATCCACATGTAGACCTGATTATAGACCTGATCCACATGTAGACCCGATTATAGACCTGATCCACATGTAGACCCGATTATAGACCCGATTATAGACCTGATCCACATGTAGACCTGATTATAAACCTGATCCACATGTAGACCTGACTATAGACCTCTTCACATGTAGACCTGCTCATGTATGTTGTCCTGATGCTACATGCTGTATCAGTGTGTGTACTGTGTATATCGGGGCCTGTGCGGTCCTGTTCACATATGTGGTTGTGAGCATGTATCTTGTCCCGGTCATGTATGTGGTCCTGGTCATGTATGTTATCTTAGTCATGTGTGTGGTCCTGGTCATGTGTGTGGTTCTTCTCACCCCGGGGTCCCTGCCACCCTCAGCAGCTCCTCTTTGCTCAGTCCGGTGAATTTCACCTCCTCCGGTGACTCCTCGGGAATCTTCAGCTTCACGGAGCCGTTCTTCTCCGCCGCTGCGGCCGCGTCTCCGCCCGCAGGAGGAGCGTCAGAGGACCGCTGTCCTCCGGTCATCGGCTCCTTCTCCTGCTGCTCCTCGTCCAGCTCCTCGGTCACATCAGCATCCTTCAGCTCAGCTTCATCACCTTCATCCTTCAGAGCTTCATCCTCCATCTTCATCCTCAGCTCATCCTCATCCTCCATCTTCGGCTCAGGGACCTGAATCAGAATCGGGTTTTATTACCAAGCAGGTTTACACATAACGGGATTTAAATATAGAAATAATCCATATAAATAGAATATAAATATAATATAAATTAATATAAAGATGAATAAAGGAGACATGAACCTCCTGCAGCTCCACAGCCTTCAGCTCCGCGTCCATGTCGATTACTGCGGCGAGAGAGAGTGTGTGTGTGTGTGTGTGTGTGTGTCTTTCTCTCTCTCTCTCTCTCTCTCTCTCTCTTTCTTGCTACGTTCACGGTTGTCGGAAATTGGAGAACCAGAGTGTCGACTGGAGAAAAAGAAAAGGACCAGTTCATTCTTGTTCATAAAGTTCATTGTACACTTGTCTCTTGATTTATAAATACATTGTTTTCATTGTATAATCTGTGAATCATTATTTCGTGTTAAATCAATGTTATAGTTTGTAAATGTATGATCACTTGAAATCTCAAAGTCTTACGTCACCACTGTGCGTGTCTACGTCAGACGTTGAACGTAACATCGCTATGTGAAGTTCCGGTGTTTGATCGGAGCTTCCGCTGAGGTGGAGTCCAGTTTAAACTGCAGCTCTGTTCCTGTGATCCCCGCACCGAGCCCCGCACCGAGCCCCGCA